GAGAATTTTTGGTTGGATCAATGTTAAGTCTATGGAACAGAAGTCGCTTTTAACGAGCAAGACCCGGTTTTAGCGAGCAATCTTTTTCTGTCTTGCAATCTTTTTTCTAGTCTTTCTGTCTTATCTTTTTTTCAAAATGATAAAGAAATGCGAGGGAAGGGGGTTAGTTGTCATTAAATTAAGAAAAGTATTTAATTAAATTAATTAATGTAATTAAAGTAAGTAAGTATTAATTAAATTTTAAGTAAACTCAATCATTTGACCTCCCAAGCCCCCCCCCCTCTTCTGGTTGCACGCCTGTCTTAAGGACCCGTTTATTACGAGCACTCGGATTTAACGAGTACATGTTACTGTCCCTTTGTGCTCGTTATAAACGAGTTCGACTGTAATAGTTTTTTGACGATTACCTGGAAGTTTGTCATAATAGCGGACTTCTCGTAAGTACTCGCGTCGCGATGTCTCAGGGGATAGGATAGATCGTTCACCTTCCAATGAGGCGAACCGGGTTCGATTCCCAGCCGATACGAATTCCGCATCCGGCTTGCACCGACCACAATGCTGATGTGAAATATCCTCAGTGGTAGACGGGTCATGGGTTAGAGTCCCCATGCCGTCAGGGTAACCGTGGGAGGTTCTCGTGGTCTTTCTCTCCATGTAACGTGAATGCGGGTTAGCTCCATCAAAAAAGTACTCCACGAAAGCAAATTTCTCTCCATACTCGATTCAGGAGTTCCCTTGTCTTCTGGATTGGGTTCAATATTACGGAATTGAACATTAGTAGTCGTAAACCCATAAAGTTGGGTCGGGTGTTCCATAGCAGTTATAATATAAAATATACAGTACTCGTAATATCGAGCTTTTTCAGTATTTAATCCTTTGCGGTCCTTTTTTGTGGGAACACAGTGCTAACTGACGAGCTATCATGTGGCTACAAAGGGTTAAGATTTCATTAACTTTTCGAGAAAATAATAAAATTTGAACATTTTTTTAATAACCTAATACTTTATACACGGTAATTTTATACTGAAAAAAGAAATAGAAAATTAAATTTTAAGCTATTTAAAAGAACTATGCTCAATGGATTAAAAAAAAATAATAGCTTTATCTAGGTCAAAAAAAAAAAANAAACAGTTCTTAAATTATCAAAATACTTCAGTTATCTTCTGATAGATAAAGTGCTTTTAATTAAATATGCGGGAAATGTTTCATAATTAATTCAGACCTTGAAATTACGTAACGGTTATGTCACTAACCTAATAAATAAGTTATCTTTTCCTCTCTGCCATCTACTTATTCCTTCTTTTAAGCTAAAAAGTAGACTATTTAAAGAAATTATCTTTAATTTGTAATAAGTGCCTTGTTCATTATTACTAATGTTATAGATTGCATCTAATATCCCCCAAAAAACCTTTATAAAAAATGAAAAAACAGGCCTCAAAAACACAAAAATTGCAGATAATAAAAGAGAGTATTCAATCGACTCTTAATAATTCGAACTTCGGTGGGGAGAGGTAAAATAAGCTCGAATTATGCAAAGTTCAGATAAATAAATATAGGCATTGATCATAAAAATTGCAGTAAATACTATAGCACTGGAATGTACTTAACTATATTTTGTAGAAAATAAATTTACTTTAAAATTGCTTTTTTTAACTGTTGTGTTAAAATTACTTTGTCACTGTTTAAGAGGTCCAGGATTATACCAGCACTAATTAATAATATATTTCATTGGCAAAACAACATTAACAAAGGTATATAAATAACTAGAAGACAAGCAAACCATTTTACATACAGATTCGTACTTAAAGCCAACTGATATAGAAGAGAAGTATTTGGGTTGGGGGAGGTTATCCAATGGAGGCGCGCATGCGCTAACGTCAAAGTTTCAGTTCGTGTTTTAAAAGTTTCAGTTCGGATTTAAACTTACCACAACTTTATTAAACTAGTACAGTGTTTCCCAAACTAATGACTTTTGTGTACCCTTTCTAAATTTTTCGTAACGCTGTGTACCACTAATATAAAAAAAATTAATGTATTTATTTAAAAATATGTTTATTTTTCTTTTTGGTACTAAGTTTTGTTAATAAGTTGATTTGCGTCAGTGAGAAGGATGATAGTATTGTTTTTGCTGTGATAAAAAAATTTCACAAAAGTTAAAAATCACATCTGGCTGTTGACACCACTAATTATTAACTGTTAACTCTGCAATAAATAGCCAACAGAAAAATACATAATCGTAAATTTTCATGACTATCTTTGTTTTTAAATAAAATTTTTTGAAATTTTTGTTTGGTGCAAGATATTTCGCATTAGAACGAGTATCTCTTCTAAGCTGTTCCGTACCCCTGGGGGTACGCGTACCACACTTTGGGAAACACTGAACTAGTGGGATACTATCATAATAAATTAAAAATTCATAAACACGGAAGACTTAAGCACATTTTCAAACTGTCCAGGAGAGTAGTGTTATTTTTTTTTTAAGTGCATCTTTTTAAAAACACCACTATCATATGCAGTTATGTTCTAGTTCATACAAAGAGCTGAGGAGATGAACCAGGTGAAATTTTCACAGTGGCTATAATCAGAGTAAAAAGAGGAAGAAAAAGAAGTGGTATCCGAACTATTTTATTAAAGATTTATTAGAATCCCTATTTTGCCATTATTTTTTGCCTTATTTTACTTACCACTGCCTTATTTGAAACAAAAATCATACAAGCATATTCAAAACTAATGAGGATTAGTTATGTTAAAATTAAAGTAAAAGCATAAACAATTCTGTTACAGTAACATATTGATGCGTCCAGTTTATGTTATTTTCCCTGATTAATAAATATCCATGAAAATCCAAAAAAAGGATAGGGTATACTTTGTGCTATGTAGACTAAATAGAAATAAAGACGTGAATGAAGCACAAATAAAAGTACAAAATGAACATACTATAGTTTCGGTTCCATAAACATGAACCTTCTTTAGTGCCTAAAGCACCAAATGATTATTGAGAAATAAAGAGACAAACACGTGCAAAGTGGTTTAACCAATAAGGACGGAGGAACAAGTTTGAAGAATATAATCAAAGAAGGGAGGTAAGAAACAGGTGTGAAGAAGTTTGGCTGGAACGAATAAATTGAATAATGCAAACAAATAAATTGATTTTAAATAAATATGAGTTTGTGATCGTTTCCTCCTCAGTAAATATGCTAAATTTCACTAACCTTAAGGACTCTATTGCTGATATTAGTAGCTGGAGTATTTATCAGATCATGTGGTCATGCGTATATATTATGTTTTATTTAGCCGGTAGGGATCCAATTCTTATTTTATTACTATCAACGTTCAACTAGATAGCCTTGTAATTTCGACCCAGTCCAGAAGACAAGGGAATTTCTGAATCAAGCATTGGGACAAACTAGCATCCGTGAAGAACTTTTTCATGGATTCAACCAACATTTCCGAAACATAGAGAGGAGAATCACGAAAGTTTCCCATTGTAAGACCGACAAGAAGGGGATTCTAACCCATGATCTACTGATGATGTTTTATGTCAGTGTGTGCGTCTGCTGAATTCGTATCAACCAGCCACCGCTGGGATTCGAACTAGAGGGAACTCTCTATACCCTGAACCACTGCAGCTGGATCTTGCGTGCATTGGACAAATTAAACGTACCCTTAAACTTCAACTTGAACACGAAAGACATGTCCAATATCAAAATACATTAACCGATCTTCTATCAACGTACATATTTAGAATTCCGATCAGAGGTTTGAATTTTCTACAGCTAAAATTATTCTACGCTGCTCTTCATCTACCAAGCCAGATTCCTGGGAATCAGCCCACATTATGAATTATTATAGTAATTTAGTTTATGATCTTTCCAATATCTCACCTTTTTCCTACTTTTGGAAGCCTATTCTAACTTAATATTTTAGATATCTAGGTTTCCCGCCATAGGGGCTTCTTATATGACAGTCACGATTAAGTTATAACACCTCTCACATCTGTTTCTTATTTCCTTTCTTTGATTTTCTTGTTCAAACTTGTTTCTCCGTTCCTAATGATTTAACCAGTTTGAACTTACTTGTCCTTTTACTTCTTAACTATCATTTGGTGCTTAGACGCTGAGGAAGGTTCTTGTTTATGGAACAGAAACTATAGTATGTCCATTTCTGCACTTTAGTTTGTGCTTTATTCATGTTTTTATCAATAAAAATGTCACTTACATGCTTTATCAAATAAGCTCTTCGTATTCTAATGTAAATGTGGTTGAAGAATTACTAGTCATTCACAAAATGAACAAACCGAAACGAAAATAAGAAATGCGCTATCAAACCAAAAATGTTCTATAGTGCCCTAAAGTTACCAAACAACCCCAGCAAAAAGCGTTTTTACAACATACGAAAACTCTACAAGTGAACTAGGACCTGATGGTTGGACAATTTTTGCAAGCTTCTATATTCAGGTTCTAATTCGCATGCAAATTTTTCGAATTAAATAGGTTCTATGTAAACATTTTTCTTTTCCTTTTTGTTGAACCGTGCATGAAAGAGAAGTTCATAGAAACTCTGATTCTGGGAAGCTGCCTATATGCCATTAATTTTTTAAATTTTATATCGGGTAGTAAAAGAGGATCAAAATAGTGATGACATGTCTTCGGATCATCCTCAGGTATGTTTCCCTAACCATCGCCAATAACCCATTGTCCAGCAATAGTGTGACATAAATAAAGTATCTACCTACAGAGGCATGGTATGTTTAGAAAATGATGGAATGAAGCACTCTCAATGCATTCGATTAGCTTATACGATCGTTAGACAATGTTGCGAATACAATTCGCGCATGCATGAACAATTCGTCTTAAATATATTTTCTTAACAATCGCTAGAACGTCTATAACTAGTCGCATACAGTGTAAACACGCCGTCAAAGCCTCCCTAATATGGCCTACACACTCGTGCGTGAATCGTATTGGCAAGCGGATTACATATGCGAATCTAATGGAGTGAGAATGCTCCATTAAGGTAGAAAGCAGGTAGCAAAAGGCACATGGGGAGCCGAATGTTAACGTTTTTTATTTCATTTTATAACTCTCGTTGAACAGCAGACCCAATTTTTCGGGTTTACGAGTACTAATGTTCAACTCCGCTGCCTTCTAATTTTGAACCCAATCCAGAAGACAAGGGAACTCCTGTATCAAGTTTTGGGAAAAGTTTGCCTTCGTGGTGGACTTTTTTTGATGGAACTAACCCGCATTTGCTTTACATGGAGAGGAAGACCACGTGAACCACCCACGGTCAGCCTGGCGGCAAGGAGACTCTAACCCATGATACGTTTACCACTGAGGTTACTTCACGTCAGTTCTGTGGTCGGTGCAAGCTGGATGCAGAATTCGCATCGACTAGCTATCTCTTTTTATTCTTATAGTTCTTAATCAGACGTAAAAAAGCATTCTGTTGAGAACTATCATCAAATAAGAAAAAAAAAATTTACAAGCTAATTTTTTATTATAAAAATCATGACACTTACCTTCTTTATAAATCCGCAGAATTCCAAATGAAATGTTCTTCGTTTGAAAGTTTTATTTTCAAATAATATGTACATAGATTATCCCTTTATTACTTTTAGATAACATACCACACATCAAAATTTTATAATTGTAAGATCTCGATATGAATTTGAATATGTAGCTTAAAAACAGAACAGCTGAATTCTAGTTGAAATTATCTATTCTTTCAAANTTTTTTTCAGTGACTGTACATATAAGTACATAAGAGTGTTGTTGTTATCGTTTTAAAATAACAAGCGTAAGCTACATAGCGTTTATAGAAATAAAAATAATTAGTGTTCTGAAAGAAAGAATGTTTGTACTTTGTACACAGCAAATATTCATTATGACATATTATTTCATCAGACAAATCAAGAAAGGAGGAGATAATTTATGTAACCACACAGCGTAGATGCTATAAGGAAGTGCAGACAGACACAGGTCGAGTCAGTCCTGCCAGTAGAAAAGACGTGCCATTTCCATTATGAATATATTATTACACTTTTATTTAGACTATTAGTGTTCCTTTTTATTTACGAATTAGCATTTATTATATTACACTGGCACTAAATTTAAAATATATTTTCCAGAAATCAATTATAATAAAAATTATCCTACAATTTTTTGTTTTGCGGACCATTTGGCGCCCCTTTGTGAGTAGCGCCCGGGGCATGATGACCCCCCTTGCCCACCCCTCACTACGCCACTGGTGCAGTGGCACATAAACTTTAAAAAAAACATAATGTGTAGTGTATACCGGGAAGTGTCATTAGTATTCTATCATGTAAGTATTCTATCATAATATACGTTGAAGCTTTTGCTTGGAAAAAATCATAATATAAATTTAGAATTGCAAACACCGTGGAAGTTGTTTGATACTGCAAGAAAAAAATTAATTAAATCGATACTAAAGATATTCGACAATTACAAAAAGTGAATAGTATGGTTTAAAAAATTTATTGCAATTTAAGAAATTATATCGAGCATAAATTAAACTAAATAACCTGCAACCACTATTATAAACTAATGCCGAAATCATTAAATTATAATCGAAATAATTTTTTGAAAAATCATTAAATGGTTTCTAATATACCACTTACATAAAAGTGCTAAGCTTAGAATTATTTCATTAAATTATTAATTTCTTACAAAAAAAAAAAAAAAAAAAAAAAATTTGGAGTTTTTGGTGTTTTGAAAAATTACTGAGAGAGCATATGCGCTCCTGCACCTTCTTTCCCGAAACTACGCTTATGGATTTGCATGTTCGTTACGTAATGCATTTATGCCTGCGCGAGCACTTCGTCATACACGGAGTTTCTAAACAAGAGCCTGCGAGTCTTCAGTAATTGAATGCAGTATGAATTGCTCCTTTAGAGACCATTCTCAGAAGAAGAAAAAAATGCTTAGGAGAACCAATTTATTGATAAATAATTGCCCTCGAAAAACTCGTTAATTAGGATCTCATTCGCATATGATATTTTGGCATGTAAACAGCTTGCATGCGAATGTTTCGAAACTACAAATAAGACGAACTGCACAAATATTCGGAATAGCATCGATATGAGATTGCATATGCGAAGTGCATACATTAAAAATGCTCCATATGCCTCTCACTTTTCACGTGCTCCCTCGCGGGTCATTCCCACTGTAAGCGACAGAAATCACATGCGCATAAAACCCTTCTGTGGCAAAATATATTAGCTTTAAGAAAACTCGCTCTTGTATTTGCGTTCACACTTTTTGCAGGTGAATTTTTTAGCATCCTGTGAGAACGGTTCCAGAATTAGGGACTCGCCATTTATTAAATATCACATCAGTTTAATATAGTAAGAATGACCTCTGAGATTAGTCCCCTAAACAACATTTGTCCTCAAAGGTATCATCTCTTTTATTAATGACATAAATCTAAACTGCTTCTGATACCAATCCAATTAGGATCTGGAATTAAAAATAAACACTCTCTTGTCTTTTTGCAACGAAGATTTAAACTAAATGATAAAATATCAGTGCCAGCATAAACATGTCCCATATTTTTGATGTCCCCAAATTACGATTTCTTTTAACTTACCAGTAGGAAAGAATACACTTATATTTTGCAATTTTAAACCTAAAAAATGTATTATTATTAAGAAAATTTCTTTTATTATTATAAAGAACATCTAAAACGATAAGAATCTTGATTCACTTAGCGCTATATGGCAAGCCTTACAAGAGTTTATTTCTTGCAAATGTAAGCTTTCGACAGATGGCGCTGGTAGAAAAGTTTTTGTGGAAATTTTGTGGGAAGAATGGATGTCATCCGCCATTATGGACGGAGAAAAACGTTCTAAAAACTTGAAATTGCACGTTGATTTAGTGGTTGTTCCAGTGCTCAAAAACTTTCAAAATGTCATGGATTAACATCAAGGGAATCCCTTGTCTCTCGAGGAACGAAAGTTCCCGTGTTAACGGGCTTTTAAACTCTTTCTTAGCCGTTTTTTCGGCTAGCCTCGTGTTCGAAGGGACTAGCTACCATTGTGGCGATGAGTAAGTTGTCGTTTAGGGCTAGGGCGCTGGACGCCTCTAAGCCTATGCCCATATATTATATGGACGATGTGCCCGAGTTTCAAGATTTTGCAACAATTAATCGGGCTGTTCCTCAAATGCCCACTGGAATGGAAAAAGAGGAAGAATGCGTAAGTAATATGCATAAATTGCATACTGCATTGTGATTGGTTAATGCCTCATTGTGGCGGGTTCTTAAATTAAGACGATCTCATTTTGAATAATAATTTTAAACTCTGATTTAATAATATTATCAGATCTGAATGATCAAGCGAAAAACCCCAAGTGAATGCTCAAGTCTCAATTTTGTCAAAAATGTTTTTATACTGTATACAGTGGTTACTGCATGAAAAGACGGCAGCCATTTTTTTGTTTATTTGTTTACACTAAGCCTAAAAAATAAATGAAAAAGTTATAAGTAATGTAGAACCATCTAAAAGTCTGATTCATGCACATATAAGTGCTACTCAGTCTCTGATTTGTTTTTTTTAGTCCAATTTTTGTTTATAAATAAAGAAAAATAAACAACAAATTATATTTGTTTACATGTCTTAATGTCTTTACTGTTGCCACCATTAGAATCAAAACATTGCTCACGTAATTAAAAGTAAATAAGCAGCTAAAATTTACTATTTAATTGTATATTACATATATTATTTTATAATAATTTCATAATTTTTAGTACCTGAATGTATTTTAGTAAAATTGGTCTTATAAATTTCAAGCTATAGTTAGTATACTTATTTTATTTGTAAATATTGTGGTAGCTGTTTTGATGGGTGATTAATTGCATATTTGCTATGGTAACATGATCAATGTTAATAAGTAGTTATTACTTTACCATTCAAATTAATCCTATTAAAAAGTAATCTACGTTCTGTGAAAATCTACCTTATTATTTATTGTTGAAGACATTTCCGTATTATGATATGTCTTGTCATCTACAATTGCCAAGGCACCAAATAGATTTTTAACTAGCAGTTTTTTTTAAAATGTGGATGCTTGCCGGGGAATGGCTACTAGCTATACCTTTCGAGTTGTTCCATTTCTGTTAAGCTTGTCGCGAGGTGATGCACTAAGTTGCCAGAACTTAGCGATTTTTCTGTGGCTGATCGTGATTCGGAAATCTCCCTTCAGATTCACAAATCTTGCCCTTCTTATTAGTTCCATTCTCTAATGGTTTTTTTTGTTTTGTTTTATGCAGGCCGCTGCCTGGAAGTTATCAATACTTGGTGTTTATTCTGGCGTGGATCACAGTATGAAAATATTTTGACTGGACAAGTTTCCTATTGCAAATAATCTTGTATTAATTGAAAGAATTTTATTCTAACCCTTTGACTTCATTAAATTTAAAAAGAGAATATTTTTGTTTTGTAATTTTTGTGCACCAACAATTACTAAAATGCCGAATGCATTTAAAAGTTTTGAAATTTTTTTTTTTTAGCAAAAAACTTTTTGCTTGTCAAGGGGTGGCTTTAAGTTATACCCTTTGAGTTCATTCCCATTTGTGATGTTTTATTAGTTGTTTCTCTCAAACCAATGTGGGAAAGTTACTTGACTATGTCATAATTAGTATAACAAATCTCAAGATTTTTTTAAAGGTATTTTTGTTTTAGTACTTAGATTTTCCTATTAACAAAAAAGGGCAGGGTGCTTTCTCATAAAAAAAGGCGCTGTGAATTTTAAAAGGACACTCACTTAACACTTTAAATATTGAATTTTGGGTACTGGGAGCAAGTGAAAAGTTTCCAAATGTGGAATTCCGCCAAATGTCTTACAACTATAAGAGGAATGTTAGTTTGAGGCCTTGTGCTCTATTCTTTGAATTCATTCAAAGCAAAGTATGTTTTCCTTTCTTCCATATTAATTTTCGTTTTAAAAATTGATGAAAATTTGGATAGATTTAGCCAGATTTGAAGATGATGCGATCTCCTTTTCTTTTTTCAAGAGAAAAGTATATTGACAAAGAATGCAACATGTGATCAAAGTCAATTAGTTTATAGTTGAACGTTTTCGACTTTTATTCCGTTGAGTGTTGTCAGTCACTTCGCTTGGTGACTTGGCTCACGTTTGGTTCCTAATTGGTGACATTTGTATCCGACTGACAGAAAAGTGCCGAATTTTGTAATATTATGTAATAACTAAATTTGATCATCAACAATTTTTAAATTTGGTCTAGGACCCTAGACAAAGTTCAGTAGATCATGTCGCATCAGCAAGTCATAGACAGACTCTCCATCACTCATCAGTTGCCTCACTGAGGCACCAATGCAATCGAAAAGATGAGATGGAGAAGCGATGACAATAGGCATGAGTCTTCTTTCGCTCTGAAGGTCAAACACTTTATATGGCCGGTCCTAAGTCTTGACAATCACCTTTCCCTCCTTCCCAGAGCCGAGGGAGTTGCTTGCCTTAGAATAATTACTTGACATGACTACTTGCAGGCCCATCTATTTAAAATTAACGTGGTCAATTCGCCTCTTTGTGTGCTCTGTAACACTTCGCCTATGACTGGGGAGCATCTATTAGATTGCCCCTCTCTTCTTGACATTCGTTCCTGTGATGACTTTTGTGCCCTCTCACCTTCTGGAGCTACTTCAGTGTTGTATTGAACTGCAAGACGCCTTATGTCTAAGAAGACGATGGCGAGCGTAATTAAAAAAAAAAAAAAAAAATCTTGCCAAAGCTGTTTGAGCAAGTCTAGGACAAGTGCACAGCAAGGGTAATCCAGGGCATTTGGCGGCATACCAATCGCATCTTTTTTCTAGCAGAAGTATTGAAATCCCATATAAAAATATGAGGTTTTCAAAATTACCTGGAAAAACGTATCAATACATTTTTTTTCTAGCAGAAGTATTGATAAGTTTTTCCAGGTAATTTTGAAAATCCCATATTTTTATTACGCTGTTATTATGACACACGTTTTACATTGCCCATTTAATTAGTCACTTTTTGATGTGCCCTGTTTTTTCTAAATTCATCATTAATCCGAGTGACGCTTGGAGCGTTTTTTGGCATTTATAACTGCTAATTTCCACATGGTTTATAAATTTCCCCGATACATTTATACGATATTATGTCTATATACTTTTTATTTTATTTCTTTTCTCATTTTTATGAGCTAAGCAAATCAGTTGCAATTTTCAATAACCAATTTAACTTAATTTAGAAAATTTTGTTCATTCATAATCATTTTGTTTTGCAGCTTGGAAAGTGCTTGTATTTGAATCAAAACTTTTCTTTAACATTCTGCAGTTATCTATTTTTTGTAATTATTTTTTGTTGAGACACAGGCCCATATTCAGGAAACTGTTTTGGAGTTCAAACACATGCTTATACTTAGGTTGACACAAATACTCTCTAATTATTTGCTACATGCATAGCCCTAAGGAAGAACTAAGTTTTTGAGCTCTCAAATAGATATGTCAGACTATACGGAACTATTTGGGACTGTTTACTGTTATAAGTTTAGATTGTGTAAAACTAAATTCATTAATTAAATTTTGCATTGAGTAAGATTTTACCACTTCAAATCAACATAACACAACAACGTAAAAACAATAATTTGATTTGGTTTAAAGTTTAACAGTAGACGTTGCTAATGTATGTCATATCTATTACACTTAGATGTTTATTGTTTTCGATTGAAGAATAAGAGTTAATTGTTTCTTATTATTTCACCCATTTGCAAAGAATGATTTAGAAAATAATAAACCTACCTGCATAGCAAACTCTAATAATACGCTTCCTGTACAAATTTTTGTTAAAAGTTGTTATTGGGCCTATATTTAACAAATGAAACTGGGGGGGGGGGGG